GAGTACCCTAAGAATGAACCAGAAAAATCATGATGGCAATAGAATTTTTTTTAGGTGCAAAACTTGGGTCAGAATCCTGCTCACGACAGAATTCTCTATTTTTCACGTAAGATATTTAAACGTGCAGAGCTTGAGCTTCTGATATCGAAATCCATCGATTCGAAAGTCAAAATTCATCTATGCATGTCGGATTACTATGCATGTAGGATTACAACTTTGATAGGGATTTAGGGCGAGATATGACAGAATCAGGTCATAATCTGGTTGGTCAAAAAGGGTCTCCCGATCTAAATTCAGGAAACTGACAATGCCAAGCATCCCCGACTGAGAGCCTGCCATAAGAACAATGAGCCCTAGGACCCAATCAAGGTGTAGGTCCATTCTTCAACATGTCATGAGTGATAGAATATAGTTGGGATGGTCAGATATTGCACGAACCCAAGTCAGAATCAGGGTCTAAGTTGGAACAAAACAAAAAAAATTTTGCGGCAGCAGTAGAACTAGGTTTTTCTAGTGCCACTTTCAAGGAATTTATTTCAACCTTACAACCCATGTAAAAGAGGAATGAATTTATCATTATAAAGAATCCTAATTAGCCTAAGAATCCTGACAATTTCGGTAGCAGTGGGGAAGGATAAAGAGAGCAGGAGATGGCTAAAAAATGAGTAACAACAATCTACATCCTATTTAGAAGGTTTCGATTAATAAATGATATATTTATGGATTAATCTCCACAATGATTTTAACAAAGTATCCAACCCTAACATAAAAGACTCAAATGTTGTTTTCTCATATGTGATTTTGGTTAACAACAGTAAAAAAAAAGGACCAGACCATATATTTTTGAAGAGGAAGGTTTTGTAAGAGAAAGAATAAGAATCTTCCTTTATAACCTCTTACCAAAAACCACCATAAAAGGGCATCTGCTTTTAAGTAGAGGGGGTGAATTTTTTAGAAGAAAACCATGAAGAAAAAACAGAGGAAACATAAAAAAATTAAGGGAGAAGCTATAATATTTATGTGCTAAGTTAAAGAAGAGAATCAAGATCAATCTTAGATAGAAAAAAAGCTAAAAATTAAGAAGAAAGAAGAAAATAATCCATATAAGGAATCAATATTCTCTTTAAAAGGTATACCTTCAAACTTTGATGAGGGGGTATATCTCAATGAGCACACCCACTCCCCATGTATTTTGTCTTTTAAATTCATGTTTAAAATGTTTATTATGTATATGTTATAGTCATTTATTAGTTTAAATGCCATGGATTTTTGTTTTGAGGAGTTTAATCATACCTTAGAAGTTAGCTTTTGTATATTCAAGTTTGTTTGATATCTTATTTAATGTTTAAGAGATGATAATATAGTAATAAATGTTAGCATAAAATATTGTTTTGCATGACTTAATGTTTAGTTAATTAATAGTATGGATATGAATTTGTTGAAGTATGGTGTTATTGTTTAATATTTAGTTAATCAATAATGTAGATATGGATATATTAAAGTACAATGTTGTTGTTGATTAGGTTATTTGCAGTTTCCTAATTTTATTTGAAGTTGCAAGGATGAGATTTATGTTTAAAAACAAAAGAAATGATATGTTGAAATATGTAAACAAAGTTATAGTTACAATGCTTAAGCCTCCCCCCCTCCCCCCCTTCATTTTTTCTTGTTTTATGCTTGTTTTTTAGGTCTAGGCATTTATGAATTTTTTTCTTTGAATGTTCTTAAGCTATAGATTTTAATTTCTCACAAAATAGTGTTTTGTCTTGCCTTATATATTTAAATTGAAATTGAAATCTATGTATGATTATTTTCTGCCATCAATTTGTCCATTTGAAGCTTGATTTTTGCTAACTGATCCTTTTTAATTTAAATATTTGGTTTTGTGTTTATAATTGTTGGGTTCAACTTCAAGTCATTCTTAGTTTGTTTTTCTTATATGATGCTAGTTATTTTTCATTATTTCATATACTTAATTTTTATGTGTCTATTATTTGACAAGATTTAGTTGAAATTTTGTATTTAGTTTTTGGATTCTTCCACTTATTTATTGTGTTATTGGCAAAATTTCAAACAAAAATCTCATTTAATCTTCTTTCTTTTATTTCCAAGTATGGGTTTTGTTTTTGGGCTTTTGAGTTTTGAATCGAGAAGCCTAGCCCACAAGGCTGGACTGAGTCCATTAATGGTTAGCTGTGTAAAAGTTTAAGGAGAAAAAAATATATTTTTTTATTCTTATGACGTGTTTGGCAAACGTGTTTTAATAAAATTTTGACAGTTTTCTTTGTTGAAATGTTTATTTTTTTGCCAAACAAACCCCAAATAATTTTTTAAAAATCAGAAAAACTTCAAGGACCATTTTAAAATGATTTGTGGGTCCCTTGCATGTTTTTCAACCATTTATTTAATAATTGAGCTATAAACTTACACTGTAAGATATTTATTCAGTATTAAATATATTTGTGTTTCTTCAAAATTTTAGAAAAATAAAAAAATAAAATCCAAAATTCTTTATTTAAAAAATATAAAAACATGTTTTTATTTGTGTGCATACGATCAAAATCTAAATTTTTTTATGCATAGTTTATAAAAAGTAAATCATGTTTTTATCATACTTTGAAAAATACAAAAATCAATTAATGAGTATTATAACAAGTTTGTGATTATCTATTACAATTTGATCAAAATTTTAAAAACACCACAAAAATAATTTGTTTAATTAATATTTAAGGTATGAATTTTACAATGTAATATATATTTTCAGTATTAAATTAAATGAATTGAAAAAAATAAATATTAGAAACTAATTGTAAACTTTAATATTTGAAGGTATAAAATTACACTTTAAAGTATATTATTAGTTATTAAAGATACAAAATAGATATAAACACACTATTAAAATTTGAACCTTAGAATTATGATGTTTTACTTTGATAAGGTAGAGACTTTTTTATTAGAGGATTTATCTTGAGTTTCTAGAGATAAAAACATTTTTATCAAGAAGGATCTTTCTTAAATATTAAACAAACTAATAAAAAAAATACGATCAATAAAAAAATAATCAATTAGTAATATAGTTTATTAAAGGTAGAATGCAATAAAGATTATATATCTTTGTTATGCATAACTAATCTCTTTATTTATATTTTTATAAACTAATATATTTTTTAATAATTGTAATACTAATTCACAACTCCATAACTCTTCACATTATAATTTTATTATTAATTTTCAAGATCCATTTTTTTTTAAAAATAATTTCAACATGTGCATACCACGTTACCCATAGAAAATTTATCAACGTCACCTAAACCCAAATTATCCTTATCTTTCCAAAGGGGCAAATGATGAACATTGTGGACGCCGCAAGTGAAGCAACTCTTCACCTATACAACATCTGGCATGATAACATGGTGCGTGGTAAAGTCTAAACATATTTAATAAAATGAATTCCCTTATTTAGTGCCTCTAATTAGGGACCTAAGAACTTTCAGCATCACGTTGACCCTTTCAGATTAGAGATTAGATCTACTGCCTTCCAGAAGTAAATAATACGTGTGAGTTTATTACTTTTGTCACCAACTCAGTGTACACCCCGTGTTGACGCGTCCATGGACATTTTTGTGATTTCAAATTAGCCCATAGTTTTTTTTTATGCCCTTTTTTACCTTCTCTTCCATTCCGTGCCTATAAATATGCACCCTAGTAACCTGTTTCCTTCCGTTCATATCAAAAATCATTTCAAAGAGAGAGAAAAGGAGAGACACCATGTCAGGAATCATGCACAAGATTGAGGAGACCCTCCACATTGGAGGCAAAAAAGAAGAGCAGAAGAGTGGGAAACCAGGCGAGCACAAAGGTGAACACAAGGGGGAGTACCTCCACATTGGAGGCAAAAAAGAAGAGCACAAGAGTGGGAAATCTGGTGAACACAAGGGGGAGTCCCATGGTGAGCACAAGCCAGAACATGGTGAGCACAAGGAAGGATTTTTTGACAAGATCCATGGGGATGGCCATGGTGAAGGAGAGAAAAAGAAGAAGGAGAAGAAGGAGAAGAAGAAGAAGGAGAAGAAGCATGAGCATGGTCATGATGGCCATAGCAGCAGTGACAGCGACAGTGATTGAAAATCTTCCACTATTTCTAAGTATGAGGTATCTATACATATTTCTTCTCTACCGCTACACATTATTTATGCGGTAGGTGTTCACCATGTTGTATAAATGCTAAATCACTGGTAATAAATCATGTGAGCAATTTTTTAAAGTAAATGTGGTTTTGTCTTTGCAGGCGTGTTGGAGTGAAAGATGTCGAGGTCCTGTCCGCCATTGACGTTACAGATAAATGATCACAAGAAAAACAAAAAGCTTGTCCATTTCAATATTCTATGGAGTAAATCCAAGATGATATCAATAATAAATAAACATAATGCTCTGTTTCTGTGATTTTTGTTGCTGAATGTTGTTAAACATCTTGGAAAACATGGAATATGTTATACGGAACAAAATGCGATGGATTTGATCATATAACTAAGAAAAAAGATATGTTCTCTGCGTTGAAGCTTGCATCTAATGGCTGAAAATGAGCACAAACATGCAAGGTATCTTCTTTGTCAATTTGTTCTGCCAAATGACATTGGATTGCATCCCTTTGTTCACCACAGAAGGTCTATAAGCAGTAATGGCATGAATGCTTACCATATTATTCATGTGATCTGCCCTCCTAAAAGCATTGATTTAATCATTTTAATTAAGAAATTTCAGCCGTAAGAAAGGTAGTCTAAGCAGTCCTGAATTTTTCTTTCCTCTCAAGTTTCAACCATTAAAAGGGGAAACATGGATGGCTCCATTATTATCCTATAAAACACTGAGTGTGCTATGGTCTTACTGTGTATTCAATGTTTTTTTTTCCTTTAATCTTTATTCTTTTTATTTTTATTTTTACTCTTTTAAGACCAAATTTAGGGTCAGCTTAAGTTAAATTATGAAAAATGAATAAAATAAGTGGCAGTTAATCTTAAATTAATTTAGATTTTTGAGCAAATATAGCTGATTAATTCCTCTCTTTATTTTTTTAGACTTAACTATCTAATCAATTCCTCCCTTTATTTTTTTATACTCAACTTAATCTAAACCTCGAGTCAACTAGATTGTGAGTTAGCTTGGATTTTATGATGATGGTACCACTCAAGTTTTATAATGATGGTATCTTTAAGCCATTAGATTTAAAAAAATATTATTGCATCCTTTCTTGTTTTGATTTGACTTTTATTTTAAAAACAATTATCAAACTTTTAAAAATTTAGGCCTACTTTTTTATATTATGCACCTTATTTTTTTTTCCTTATTTTTTCTTTGTTGTTTTGTATATTTTTTTTGTATAAAAAAAACCCATGCATCTAATTAGGGTATAGTTAAATGAAAATCAATTTCAAAAATAAAAAGTTAGTTCTAGTGGAGGTGCGTGACCTAAATAATAGATATGACTGATTTGTCCAGGGTTAGCAACTTATAAAAAGCGTTTTAATAATCCATTACAAATTTGTATATAGAGATGCTTATTAATTTGTCAATGTTATGTTAACATATCAATAGATACAGTCATTAACAAATCAATCCATCATTTTTAAAATATTGCTAATTAACTTAAGAGTATTTGAGAGTGTAATAATAGTAATTTTTCAAAGATTGTTTTACTAAAAAATACATTAAAATAATATTTTTTATTTTTTAAAAAAAATTATTTTTAACATTAGCACATCAAAATGATTAAAAAATAGTAAAAAATTAATTAAAAAAATATATCTTAACAAAAACAGGTTGAAACTCAATGTTAAACATCCGAATAAAATTTAGATGATTGTAATTGTATAAATTATAATATGAGAATTAATTGACTCAATTGATATCTCATCAGCTAAACTGAAGGATTGGGATTAATTCAAGCAAAAAATGGGTTTAACCTATTTTTATAGGCATGCACAAACACAAGGATATGAAACTTGATTTTTGATTTGTTCATAAACTAGGTTATCCATTTGAGAACAAAATATTGGTATACCTCTATAATGGTTTTGGTTATAAATAGATGGGTAGGGTTAAGAGACCACTAATATATAATTGCATTTTAAACTTTAATTTTGAAGAAGTTAAAATAATTTATTTTTATTTATTTTACATGTAAAAATTCATCCAACAACGATTTAAACTAAATATATATTTTTTTAAACTCTAAATAAAATTATTTTTTCTAAATCTAATTCTTTAAAACTATCAAAATACCAAATACCCACTAATAACTTCCAAATGAATAATTGTATATCCAAGTTCAAGCGGACAAATCAAAGTGGGCTTTTGAAGGCCAACACAAAATACAACTAGGTTTTTTAAGCCCATAGACTATGGTTCGTAACCCTACGGGCTTGAGTGAATTATACTTTGGTCATAACTGAACCCAAAAAAATAGCTCTACACTTCTACCTGCAATTTTTTTGTCATTTTTATTTTTTATATATATAAAGCTACTATTAATATGGTCCAAATTAATAATCATCAACCGGATGTCACGATAATTAGTTAAGGAAAAAAAAACAGAAATTAGGGAGAAATTATTTATTTTTATTGAATCAAATAATAATAATAATAATAGTAAGAAAAACTGTTGCACGGCCTCTCGAACCCGAGAGCTATGGATTGCCTAACCATAGCTAAAAAAATAATAAAAAGACAGATCTGGACAGCGATCCTTCATATGCACGAAGATCCATTGGTGCTTGCTGCATAAAGACCACCTAAACTCATAAACATAGCCGAAGGAGATGCCCACATTGACTTTGGATCAGCCCATAGGAGCAACATGCACGAAATCAAACTCAAAAGCATGCAGTGGTGTATATTGTGATGTAGCCAAGAGGCATTGGCGTGGTGTCATCTCAAAGAAAAAGAAATTCCAAGCAAATGTTGAAATATTATTGGAAAATCCTAGAGGTTAGGAGGAGCCGATGCCTTTATTATGTGGATAATTGGCCATTTAACCGAATAAGAAACATAATGCACATGGTAGGTTTAAACTTTAGACTTTAGTGGTCGAGTTTGTATATAAAAGAGCGAAGGGGGAGTTGTAAAATGTAGCCATCGATGGTTGGTGGTGAAAGGGAACTTTATCGAAGTCCACCACCCGCCAAATCTCTCCCTCTAGGCTGGGGTTGGTGGTGAAAGGGAGCTTTATCAAAGTTCACCACCCGCAAAATTTCTCCCTCTAGGTTGGGTTTGGTGGCTGTTTCTGGTAGTCTTCACCTACTGAAGCTGTCGTCGGAGTCTTGTTTCTTAGTGCTGTGTTTCTTGCCATACTGGGCACACCGAGTGCTGATTGTGATTGGAAGACTTAAGACTTGTCAAATAAAAAAAAGGTTATTGGATATTATAAATTATATTTTAGAATTATATTTTATATTTTATAGTTTAAATTATTGGATTAAGATATACTATCTAAATTTTAATCATCAAGTAATTACAAGTTTAAATCTCATTATTATTTTTATTTAATAAAAATTAAATATAAAATAATATAAATTTATATTTTAAAGAGATTTTATTTAAGATATTGAGTTGAAATTATTATATTATATTGAAAAATCATTGCTTGCACTTAGAATATCAAAAATAAATAACAAATCATTTATATAAATATTAAAAAAAACAAAAAAAAAACAAAAAAACAAAAATCCTTTTAATATATATTCACTTATACATGATAAACATCAGACTACATAACAAATGTCTATCTTGTGCAGGAATAACGAGGGATGGCAACATCTGCTCTGCTTGCGGAGTATTTACGTTATCTATCTATTTTCAACTAGTTTGACTGAGAAAGAGATCGAGCCACGCACGAAAGGTTACTACCTAACGTGTTGCTTAACACTATTGCATAAGAAAACCTGTCTTTGTTTTAAAATATTACTACATATAAATTAAAAATGACTTCTTGAAAATGTAAGCCTACCATGATATGATCTCAATATTTTTTTTTTAATAATCATATAGTAAATTTTTATAATCATAAACTAAAAAGATAAAATATATATAAAAATACACAACTTGCATGCTCCCGCGTAACAATTTTCAAAATCTATTTTTATTGCATATGCGATAATCAAAGTAAATTATGTTAATAATTAAAATGATGTAAATTATAGAAAAATATTTTTTAGGTCCAAATTTCTTTTCTTTTTTTTGTAAGAAACATTTTTATTTATGTTGAAGAAAATCGTATTTTTTTTATAAGTAACATAAAATCACATTAAAATAGAAAAAAAATCTTGAAGCAAAATGTACATTTTTTAATGTTATTAAAGGTGAAAGCTACCTCTAATTAATGAGTCCCTCTCTCAAAATAGAATTTACAGATTCTAAAATCAAAGTTATTAGTATAAAATTTTGTCATCCAAAAAATTTCTCTCTCATTAACTTTTTAGATGATTTTTAACATGCGATTAAAATGTCATAATGATTAAAATGTCACAATAAT